TGCGGCATGCTATTGTTTCTTTTTTTTCGTTATACATTTTTTCTATTAAAATTTATTTATTATCTATTTCTTTTTACTCCTCCCCTTACATATATGTACATACTAATGCTATGGGTATGGCACAGTCGGTCACTTGCGGACACTGCCGCCACTTCTATGGTCACAATCAACGCACATGGGGATGGAGACGATCGACACTTTGCTGCGAAGCAAATGAAAGTCAAAAATCGGCGTAAAGGCAAGTAAGTATATGGAAAAGTGGCAGCAGAGATACTATCTCAAATTTTGTGTTTTTGACTTTATCAATTGCTGCTGTGTTTCTTTCCAGTGACGCTTTGAGTGCAGCACTTTCTGCATTTTATTGTAAAATACTAGTTTTGGTGGGCGTATGCTTGCCCATTACCGAAGTGATATCACATCAAATACCCAATTATGTATACCAGGGCTTCTATGTTTATTTGTATATGGGAAGCATACTTTTTGTGGCCTTCCTTTATTCAACGACGTTGCGGAATCGTACGCTTTTCAATGCCTTGAAAACTTTTCGTAAGTAAAAATTTAAGAAATTTTTTTTTATGTACATACTATAGGTACAAGTATATTATAGGTAATTCAAAATTCGGCAGCAATTACCGTTTTTACTGAGTTCAAAATCTTGCTATTAGGAGAAATATGCTAAAAATTCTGTACAGTAGGCTTTAATCAATAAACGGTTCTTCTGAATCTGAGGAATTAAAGTTCGACGCTCCAAGGTGGACAATTGGCATTGCCAATTCTAGAGAGTCTGCAGTCGTTTAAGATCCTGTTTTTTATTTCATATTCAGAAGTTCCTAGAAGCACCGTTGTTCTTTTTAGTCACCTTGAAGACAAAATAAGGTTACTTCCGATATCTTATAAAAATTTGTATCTTAATATTGAACAGTCAGACTGTAGGACAGTTATATGTATAGTGGTTTGACTTGAACAATGTATTTGGAGATTCTAGCGTTGCCTTGGACAATAATCTATGCCAAATTTCATGACGAAATCTGGTAAAAAAAAAAAATTCCTGTTTAAACGAGCCGAGAAAAGAGAAAATCGATAACTTTTTCCTTACTTCTACAATATATTATCAAAGTTAGGCTTTTTATGGGGGCTCTAGATAGCCTTTACCACTTGTGATAATCTTCGGAACTATAGCAATTAAACTATTACTATTACTTTCTACGAAAATTCTTTCAAATACTAGCGTTTGGTGTAAAGATATATAGCTGATAATTTTTAAAATCACCCCAAAAAGTAAAAACTAATAATAATTTATTTTATACGCACAGATGAGGAAACCCAAAACATTCATTTGAAACACAAGGTCACACATTTCGGCAGTTTTTATCTGCGTGTCGGTGCCATCGCCTTCGCCATCGGCACTATGGTATATTCGGGTTTGGAATTCGGTCAGTATTTTGAGTTGAACGGCAAAGCCGGTTGTGGTGATGTCTTTATTGCAATCACACCTATTTGCCGCATGTTACTCGCCATCGTACAAATACAATTTATCTTCCTCAATACAACCTATATGGATATGGCACGTCATAAGGTCATCTGCCGTTTTGGTCTAATGCATATGATTGCCACCAATCTATGCGAGTGGTTGTATGTATTAGTTGAGGAGACGAAACATGAAATCTTTCATATTGGCCACCACGAAAATGATGCAACTGAGGCGTTATTCCCAACCGAGGCTCACGGAACTTCCGATTGGAGTGATGTCAATGCATCGCTAATACATACACAGCTCAATACGAACAGCATAAATAATACGATCGTCACAACTATACAGAATGTACTCACAAATCTGACGATTGCATCAGCCAGTAACTCATCAACGCAAGTGACGATCGGTTGTTCACGCACCAACATTATGGGTGCATTGGTGCAAGAGGTGGCGCCATTTCTTTTCCCCTGTACAATCGAATATTCACTCATCTGTGCCGTTATACTTTATGAGATGTGGAAGACAGTACGCTCCATTCCGGATATTGATCGGTCCCGAAAGAGTTCGGTAAAACCGGCACATCATAAACCGGCAAATCATTTCTCCGTCGATTGTTCACAGTCGCATAAAGGGCTCTTCTTCGGTATAATTATGATTGTAATGACGATTATATCAATGATCATGTACTTTGTGCTATACACACAACCCGGCTATGAATTGATTGCAACGCAGGAGGTCACCATTTGGGAGATAATTACGTACTTTATTTGCACGGCGGCCATAATTGCAGGTAAGACCACGTGCACCTAACTCATTCAAGGAAATAGACAAATGTTCAATTTCGTAGGTCTCATATTGATACGCGATCTGAAATACGTGCAAAACTCTAGCGATGATCATCACTCAATGGAACTGGACAATCAATTGCTGATTGTGGCGCAAACTGGTGTGTACCTCTATGGCATGTTCAGCATCTTCGGTAGTTACTTCTCCAAATGGGACGCGGTGCCGGATCGTATAGAAGGTAAGTGAGAAGTCAACCATAAATTGCGCAAGTACGATCTTTTTTTTTTTTGAACCATTTACCTATTCTCATTCCAAAGGCATCGTTGCTGAGATCCTTGGTTTGGCGGAGACCTCACTACAGACAATGTTCATACTTCATGCGAGCCATCGACGTTGTAAGGGCGCCAAACAGGCACGTCGTAAGCCGGGTCGCGAAATAGTTACATTTTTACTTATAGTAAATATTGCAATTTGGTTCATCAATACACTGATCAAAGGTCGTGCCGTTTTTCGTGAGACAAATCTGGTGTTCTTTGGTGTTTGGGGTTGGACTATCATCACGCACATCTCTATGCCACTGGCTATATTTTACCGTTTTCACTCGACTATATGTCTTTTCGAAGTGTGGAAAATCACTTACAAAGCAAAGACACATTAAAGGAAATAACTTTTTCCTTTAGCTATTTCGCAATACATTCGACAAAACCTAACCAAATAGGTTTTAGAAACATATTTAAGTGTAATTTTATAATTAGTTATACCTATTTATACACATATTGTATTTATGTTTAATGATTAGTCAAGACATGAGGAATTATAGTCAATTAAGCACTTTTCGTTTGATCAGTATTTTTCTATAGAAGAATGTATTATTCTAGATATGCGTACATTTGGTATATTTGTAGAAATCATACTTCATAAAAAAGTATACTGCGTACTTTTTATAATGTAGATAAACATAATTTAATATTGTATTTATAAATATAAATATATTTTTGACAAATTTACAAACAAATATGGTAATCATGAGCTCTTGTTCTACACTTATACTGTTTTCAAGGACCCTTGTGTTAAAAATAGTTTTCGTTTTTTACTACCTTATACTACAATGGGAAAAAAAGTAAAATCAGGCAATAAACTGAGCTTTCTACAAGCAAATTCTTTGAAGGGGTTATTAAAATTGGGAATTTTAAACAATCGATTTTCTTTTTTGTTTTGCTTATATAACGAGTGTGCATATATTTAAGCATATTATACGAAAATTTTAAATTGATCCTGCAAATAGTTTCGGAGATATAAGCGTCTTTATCAGAATTTTTAACTTAGTGCAATCGGTGAGAAAAATTCCTCCGAAACGGCTATACCTATCGACTTGAAATTTTCTATTCACCCTTTTAAATATATTTGTCACTTAATGAACGTATGAATAATACTTTTGAAAATAATTTCGATTTTTTAAGCCTCTCTGAAGTGTGAATTTTTTTACGAAAAACCGTGTTTTTTTGTTTTTATTTATTATACTCTCGCAACCTGTTGCTACAGAGTATAATAGTTTTGTTCACCTAACGGTTGTTTGTATCACCTAAAATTAATCGAGTTAGATATAGGGTTATATATATATAAATGATCAGGATGAAGAGACGAGTTGAAATCCGGGTGACTGTCTGTCCGTCCGTCCGTCTGTCCGTCCGTCTGTCCGTCTGTCCGTCCGTCCGTGCAAGCTCTAACTTGAGTAAAAATTGAGATATCTTTATGAAACTTGGTAGACATGTTTCATGGTACCGTGAGACGGTTGGTATTGCAGATGGGCGTAATCGGACCACTGCCACGCCCACAAAACGCCATTAATCAAAAACAAATAACTTGCCATAACTAAGCTCCGCAATAAGATACAAGACTGTTATTTGGTACACAGGATCACATTAGGGAGGGGCATCTGCAGTTAAAAAAAATTTTAAAGTGGGCGTGGTCCCGCCCTTAATAGGTTTAACGTGCATATCTCCTAAACCGCTAAAGCTATAATAACAAAATGCCCTGCAAGCAAATATTTTTAGCACTTCTATTGACGGTGTGAAAATGGGTGAAATCGGGTGACAAGCCCGCCCACTCCCCATATAACGGTACTGTTAAAAAATACTAAAAGCGCGATAAACCAAGCACTAAACACGCCAGAGACATTAAATTTTGTCATAACGTTATTTTCATATTTCTATGTTATAGTGCGAAAATGAGCGAAATCGGACTACTACCACGCCTATTTCCCATATAACACCATTTTCAATTTCATCTGATTCTTTCCTTTTCCACTATGCATATCAAGCAACAATGATTATATCGGAGTAAAACTTTGCGTAAATAATACGTTTAAAGTATGCCACCTTGTGACCAAAAATTGTCTTCGAACCAAAACTGTTTAAGCCCCTAAGTACTAAATATGTGGACCCCAGTGCCTATAGTTGATCTTCTACCGAAAATATCAGTCAATCCACAAAGAAATCTCAAACGAGTATACCATTTGACTTTGCGAGAGTATAAAATGTTCGGTTACATCCGAACTTAGCCCTTCCTTACTTGTTAAATAACTTAATTTCTGTCGATGCAAAAATAACGCGAAAACTAAAGAGTACTAGCGTCAATTTGAAAACAGGGTGAGTCAGATGTTTCATGTAACCGAAAAATTTTCTACAATATTACAGTTTTTGCAATTATTGCGACTTAATTTTTATGTCTGAAAGTGACACTTAAGTAGCTTTGATGCAGCAATTAACAAAAGTAATAGAATTGTTACGTTGGAGTAAATTAACTATAATTTTTGTAAGGAGAATAAAGCTTTTAACTTTTTAAATTAGTTGGCATCATTTGTTATACTAAAGACCATAGTTAACAGTAGTCTGGGCAGAGAATGTAGATATATTTTACGTTCTCTGGTATGGGGAAATAACAAACAATGATGCAAACGCCAATTATAGCCAATTTCCCTGACACGACTTCCTAAAAAGTCGTAAAGAGCATTATGGAAATAAATGCATAAACAATTGGGTTTTCTCTATAATGCTTCTGACTACGAAAAAACCATTTTCATAATAATTAAATATGTGATAAACACCAAATCGAGTGATTTCATTTAATTTATCATATAAGGAAGGCAACATTGTTACAAAGTGACAGTCATCTTCCATGTAAATTTTGACATTATTCTTCATTGTTGTAATTTGTCGAGCATTGTTTTCAATTGTTAACAATTAGACCATATATTAGCAGTTTTTAATAGTAAAGAAGTTTTATTTCAAATTGTTTATAAACACACATCAAACCAATTGCAATGGAGGTCGACGAGGAAGATTTCGAGGTACCAACTTCAAGTAGCAAAGGCGAAAAGAAGCGTTTCGATGTGAAAAAGGTAAGCACGGACATCTCATTCTCAAGTTTTACAGTTAACAAAAAATACACCTTTTTTTAATTTATAGTGGAATGCCGTCGCTTTATGGGCCTGGGGTATGCATAATATAGCCAAATTTACTTATTATATTATACGTAGTCATTTGCTTTATGACTACATAACCTTACTGAAGTCCTTGTAAACACCGAAAAATGCTCAAAATAATTTTGGTAAAATTGTGGATTTTTTCTATTTCTAGATATTGTTGTAGACAATTGCGCTATTTGTCGTAACCATATAATGGATTTGTGTATAGAATGTCAGGCCAATCAGGCGTCTGCTACCAGCGAGGAATGTACTGTTGCGTGGGGCGTCTGCAATCATGCTTTTCATTTTCATTGCATCTCACGTTGGTTAAAAACCCGACAGGTGTGTCCATTGGACAACAGGGAATGGGAGTTCCAGAAATATGGCCACTAAGCGTCGTTAGGAGTTTCCAAGCGGTAATTGAGGGATCTTGCTCTTTTTTTATTTCATCTTCAATAAAGGCGCTATTCAAATCGTCTACATATAATTTATAACGCGTTTGCTATTAAACTGCAGTATTTTTGGTTTAACGCTAAATAATAACCTATAACTAGTTTGTCAAAATGATTGCAAAATAAATGAATTTGATACAAAAGTATAAAAAGTATGTTATATGTTTTTGATTGAAGATTCTCATCGCACAAAGTCAGCAGTAACTTTCGGTCTCTCTCAGGTCGCAACGGCGTAAATCAAGGAGTTAGCCCGATAACCGCACCTGAAACTGTGGAATTTTGCCCACTACCTTTTCTCATCAAGAAGCTGCTCATTTGTCGGAATCGCTGTTATGGGACCACTATAGCAAATAGCTGTCATACAAACTGAACAATCAATGTCAACTTCTTGTATGGAAAACTTTTTTAATTGAAGAGATATCTTTGAAATTTGGCATGGAGTGCTATCTAAAGCAACGCAACGATCTCGGAATGAATTTTTTTTCGATCGGACCACTATACATAGCATGTATGCCATACAAACTGATCAAACATGCAACCATTCACTGGACAGTCGGGTGTAAGTAACCGGAACGGACTCGAATATTACATCCGGCCAAGTACTGTCAACTCGGCACCATACCTTGAAATTACTTCAGCAATGTCTTCTGTCGCTACTACAGCAACAGCAACAAACTGAGCAAACAAAATACAATTCTTGTGTGGAATCCGTTGTATTTATGTCGAGTTTGTTTTATAGGTTCGGTGCAAATGTTTTAATGCACGAATTAATGCATTCACCCAATATATCATACTCAAATACAAATACTTTATAATAAATTGGTATATTTTTCGTACTTTTTATTTCTTTAATGTATACAAATATTTAATGAAACTTTATTTAATGCGTAAAAGTATCCATAAATTAATTCTATTTGCATTAAAAATAAATGAGATGAATGTTTTAATGTTTGTATGTATACTTATTTAACTAAAGTGCAAAGCTAAACTATGAGAGCAAAATAAACAAATCTAATATTTTATCGCTATACATACATACATAGATATTGGAAAACAACTTAAGACTGTATGTATTGACAAAAGCGTAAATAATTAACTAAACATACGAAATCTATATGTTAAAACTAATATTTTTTGTATTTTTTGCTAATGGAAATGCACATGCATTAGCATTTTAAATTGAAAATTATTAATACGGTTTTACTTTTCATTATATTTTAATTTTTTTTTTTGTATTATTTTTTTTTAATTTTAATTCATTAATAATTCTACAAGTTTTTTGCAGTTGGTCAGTTTAATTCTTTTTTTTTTTATTATTTTATCACTCTTTCTTTTTAACTTGTTGTTTAGTGCTTTGCATTAAGTGTTTTTCTTTATCTATTTTACATTCATTATTATTATTGCACTAATTTATTTGATTCCTTTTACGTTTATTAATCTTATGTAAATCAGTTTTCATATAATTAATTAATGTTAATATAAAGAACACAATTGTTTTGTAATATTTACAAATCAGCTTAATGTAAAACTTTCCATTTGTTGATTACACTTAAATTTTAATACATTTTTTTTCTATTGTATGCTCTACACCACAGAGAAATTGTAGACTTTGGTATGCAAGACAAAAAAAATTATATAATTCAAAAAAAAATTTTTTTTAAACGAAAATATGATTGAAGGATACAAATTAGTTTTGGATCTTATGCTTGCTAGCCAAACCTCTAAAGTTCGATTATTGCATGACATTGAAGTTACGAGGGTTTTGAATGTGGAATTTGCCTTAAACAAGAGTATAAGTTAGTAGTCCTTTATGAAATAACACATCTTTAAGGAAAAGTTTTAACAGAAGATATCGGTGATAATAAATTTCATTTCATGTTGCGTCATTAAGATGGGATATAAAGATATTTTGACAAATATGTTTCAATAATAACTTAATATTTTATTGAATAATACATTTCTTTAAATATTATATTTTTCCCTTACAAATCTCTATCCTTATATTATATACCAACATTTCCTGCATTTTTATTATGAAATTTATTTTACTTTTTTTAATTTGCTGTAGAATGTACTTTATGCATTGCGATTTAAAATCATTTAGCAACATTTTAATCGGATTTAGAACACTATTGGAGAAAATGTATACATAGTTTGTTTTATTTACATATTTGTTAAAATTATTTTTAATAATTAATATACGCTACCTGGCAGCGCTGAGATACTAATTTCTTTCGACATAATGCTCGACTTTCATTTTTATTATTTTTTGCGAACTTTTTATACAACTTTTTCATTTTATTTATTAATTCATTAACTTCAACTTACGGTTGCACAACCGACATTTATTAAGAATGCTTTAACTAATGTACAATGTAATGTTTTTATTTTTATTATTTTTTTTTTTTTTGCATTAGTCAACTTTCAACTTTTTATGAAATTGCCTTGTGATTTAATGGAAAGTTACAATATTACGACTCCATTTGAGGCTCGTGTTTTATGCTGGCTTGCGTATTAATTTGCTGTTATTTCTTCATTTTTTATTAATATTTTTTTTTGTTTTTTGCAATTTAACTATACATGATTTGAATTCGATTGATTTCTATTCTTAACTTCTTAACCATTGAATTATTACTTGTATTAGGATTTTCGCTATCAATATATTTTGTTGTATTTTTTGTTATTCTACCGCTTTTCTGTTTCGTGGTTTCAGTATTCAAATACATGTCATCATTAGTATAAATATTGGCTGAGAAGCTATTAGCAATTGATTTGTGGCCCTTTTGGTTCTTCTTATATGATCCATGTTTGTTACTGTTGTTGTTGCTTGGACCTATACACCCATATTCATAGTTGTTAGATGGATTATTGTAGCTAAATGCTAGATTATTATCTACATAATTATTAACTGTAGCATTGCTACAATAAGTTAATTCATTTGTTTTATAATTATTTATAAATTTTTCATCTGCAATATAAAAAATAGAGAAAATAGGAAAGGGGGAAAAAAAAAAAGAAAAGTTGATCAACATCATTCATATCCATACAATACACCATTTCTATGAAGAAAGAATTACAGAAAATTTCCAAAAACAAAAAATAAAATAAAATACATTTTGGACATAACAAAAAAAGTAATATTTTCCTATGAGTTTGCTGAATAGCAATGATAAAATGTCTAAACATTTAATTTTTTTCGATTTAAGCACACACCAAAAATGTTTTTTATGCTTATTAATATAAAAGCATGTTTTTAGCATATTATTGAATTAATTAAAGTAAAAATAAGTTAAATCGGACAATAATGGGAAATGCACAAATTCAACAAACCTTGCCGATTAATATAGTGGTTGTCGAAAATTAATTTAAAATTGCGAACATTATTTAATGTCGAAATTTTGTGTAATTAACAATAAAAAAATTTAATTGCTTTCCTGCTAAAAGCAGAATTCTCCTATAAATAATAATTCCGGGCACTCGGTGGTGCACAAGCGGCGCTATCAACGAAACGAAAAACCGTTGTGGTTATGTTCTATGTGAGCAAATAAACTATTAAAACTGCTTTTTTAATTTGCTACAAGTAATATTTGTTTTAACCGCTTTTAAGAGGTTAGAAACCCGCAATTATAGCTTACGAAATTTTTCGCTGATTATGAACTTTTTTTTATACTGATAAATTACTGATACTTAAGAAAATCAAAATGTTGATAATTATTCATTAATTCAATTCAATTTACTTATTCTGCAATAATCTAAACTAAACTATTACTTTACTTTGAACCTAACTGCAAAACGTTTATGTACTATTCATTTTAAAAAATTTTGAATTTCAATTGTTGTTTAAACAGCGCTACCACACGCACAACACATACACACATAGAAAATTAACTACTAAACACGCTTTAATATACATTTTGCAACAACATGTAATTAAAATGCTGAAAACGGAACGCGCCTGGCGCCCGCAACAACACTATTCAGCCAAGAACACAGCCACAAACGCAGCGACAACACTAATGCCCTTTGCGAAACACAATGTACAACAATTGCCAACAATGAAGGTCAATTCATGAGGAGATCAGTCGTTTTCTTGACCATTAAGGTGGCGGCAACACCATTACCACCAACACCACCATCACCGAGCACACCGCCTAACGCGCTTACGCTGGACACGGCTGTTGTTGTACCAATTGTCATTGTTGTTGTTGTTGTGTTTGTATGCGCATTGTGCGCACGCAATGACGCGCTGGCAGCTGCTTTGTGTGTAGCGCTCGCAGCAGTCGCAGTGATCGCTGTAGTGCCCATAGACAACGTGTGTCCACTGGCTGTTAAATTGCGTGCAAAAGTGGGGGGCGGCAGTAAGGCACAAGAGCCGAAGGTATGCTTGGGCACGCTCGCCTGCGATAGAAACAAGGTGGGCGCAAGCGCAGCTGCTACGCCATTCAAGTTGCTGGCAATGCAGTTGTTGTTGCCGCTAACGCCAGTTGCTGTTGCAGTCTTTGGCAAGCCAGTGATGCTGGTTGCGCCACCAAGCGGATGGTGCATGTAAGCGCTAAAGTTATTGTGTGGTGTTGTAACGGTGGGTGTAACTGTGGGTGTAACTGTGGAAGTCTGCAAGTGCTGCTGCAGCAATGTGAAGGGTTTGTGTTGCAACATTGGCGGTGCCACCACAACAGTATTTGTTGTTACTACTGGCCCGCTTGTCGACGGCGGAGTAGTTACAGACGGCGCTACAGAGGCGTGTACAAAATTTGCGGTTGAAGTTGCAACAATTTGCTCATGCTGCTCGTGCTTTTCACTCTGTGGCAACGATGTGTGCGCAGTTGCTGTCGAACAGGCCGACGCGAAGGTGGAATTCGATAAAGAACACAAGCTCGAATTGGAATTCGAATTCGATTGCGGCGAAATGGCTGGCTCGGTAGGTGCGTTGGATGATGTTGAATGCGTTGAAGCGTTGGCCAACAACGATGCGTTTGCGCGTGTACTAATGCTGGTATCAGCACTGGCGTTAGTGCTGGTCGTGGGTGTAACAGCAGCCGCCGAATGTGTTGTGTTTGTTGTATTTGAAGCAATCGTCGATTCGCTCATGTCGCCCATTTCATTTTCACACTCGGCGCTGCTACCGCTGGTATTGAATGGGGTGCTATTTAGGCTAGCATTCGAACTGATCGCTGGAATGTCGATTGTGTGCGTCTCATTGCCAAATATTAAACGTAGTCGCTTCTTTTGTGGCGTGTGCACCGCACAGCCGTTAGCATCAGTGGTTAGTGAGGGCAGTACAGCAGCTTGTGGACTGGACTGGGCGGCAGGTACACCCGCCGGGGGTGTTGTAGAAACTTCAACATTCATACTATGTGATAATTCATCCGCAGCATTGTAACGTTGATGCTGTCGATGGCGACTGCGGTGCCGATGGTGATGATGATGCTCCTTATTGGTTTTGTGACGCTTTTTACGCTTTAGCGGAATGCTATCAAAGTCACCACCGTGTTCGGAAATGCCCTCCATACGTAAAATCTCATATTCCACCGGTTCGGCCGAATGAGATGAGGCACGACTGAATGAACCGTTAAAACTGCTACTCTCATCGCTCAGACTGGTACCCGATTCAATAACTTCATCGAGTATAGGAGAACGCTTCATACGCAATGTCAACTTCAAACGTCTCTCCGGTGTCTTCAAGAGCGTTTCCATGGCCGTAACAGCGACAACAGGCGTACAGTCACTATCGACTCTATCGTGTGTCGCAACTTTGGCTTGCAAATCATTTTCGCTACGGTTGCGACTATTAACATCGTGAACTTGTTGTTCCGTTAGCTGAGATAGACTCCTCTTACGCGTTATTATATTCCCATTTGTTGTTGGTATTGTACTGATATCGGTTTTAACGGCGCTACGTTGCTGATTTCGACGAGTGGCACGTTGCACGTGTGTTAGCGTGGAATCTTTCGAGAGACACGTCTCAAGCGATTCTTGCGTTTGTGTTTGTGTCACCGACGCTTCATCAAATGAATCTATCAAATTTTTTCGATAACTTGGACTAATACTTTTATTTCTATTGTGAGTTGGGCCTGTGGCATTCACGACATTATTACCGTCAACATGGCAAACTGCCGAGCTTGGGTCAAAGTTGGTAACTTCTTGCATAGTGGCTGTGTTGGCGGCATATTGTCTGCTAGCCGGCAACCTATCCGCAACTCCGCTAAAGAACTCATTTGAGTCATTTGCACTACTACTACTACTACAATTACTACTTAAACTACTGCTATTGTTACAACTACTTTTACTGTTATAATTATTACGATTCGTATGGGCATCAGTGGCAGTTGATTTTACTTCTGTGCCAATGCTTGACGCGGTTATATCACTATTGTGTGCAGTCGACTGATGCTGGTGGTGGTTGCGCAGTATACGCCCGCCGCTGTTGTTATGCAAAGTTGCGGCGCCGGCGCGAGTCAGTCCATTGCGCAGGCGTATTGTTTTGTCATGTCGTTGGCGTTCGCTGCCTTTAGGCGCTGCTACAGCAAATGCAACATTTTCTTCTTCCACTCCTGGGGCTGTGCTTGCAACATCTATTGCTCTGTCGACACGTTGTTGTTGTTGTTGTTCCATAGCATTATCAAATTCCTCATCCATTTCATTTATATCATTTGTATCCCTTTGGTTGCAGTATTCCACTGTTTCCTCGGCACGTGCCACTGTTACAGCGCGTGTTTGTCTGCTGCTACTGCTTCGTGTAACGTAGCCACTTGTTTTGTTGTTGTTGTTCGTATTAGTTTTATGCACAACATTGCCAGCAGTTTTGCGGATTGGGCGTCGTGCCACACTAGTGGCTGCGCTCGACTTTGGTTCGGCCGCCGCACTTGTTACATTCGCTTTAGCCACGGTACCGGCGCTGACATTACGAGACACAGCAGTTGCGGCGCTAACAGAGAGTTCGTCCGCGGAACCAGAAGATATCGTACTGCTGGTGCTGTTTACACGTGCCGATTTGCGAAGCGATTCACGACCTACATTAAAACTGCTACCACCTACTTTACTTCCTGACATGGCATCAGAAGCACAATGTTTGCCATTAATATCTTGCTGCAATACATGTGGATGAGTGTGATGTTGATGATGATGATGCCGTTGGTATGTGTTGGCCATAATCATTTCGGCATCATACTTTGTCATACCTTTTTGTCGCAATTCTTTCATTGTTAACGGGGTCACTACCACAGTAGGTTGTTGTTTTTTCATTGTTTCTAAATTAGGGACCTCCATAGCGATGCTTGTGTCACCTTCTACTTTCTTGGCAATCTGAGCCCCGGCAGAGCTTTCGGTAATTGTAGTTGGTGTGTTTGTCGCACAAGTGTTTGTATCGATGTGTGTTGAATTTGTAGAGTTGGCACGGCTTTTAATACGATTTATACGATTGTCAGTTTCGCGTAAACGATAACCGCCAGATACAGATGGGTCATGCGAGTTTATACCGATTACACAAGCTCCGCTTAAGCCCATGGCCAAGGCACCAGCATCGCTGCCAGTATGTCCGTTCATAACTTTACCCGCAAATGCGCCGGTTCCACGCCGCTCACAAGTTTCACACTCACAATAACAGTTGCCATCGCCGAAAAAGTCCTCTCCATAAAAACACGTAATTTCTTCTCCAACCTCAATATCGCGTAACACTTTTACACATGCAGTATCGCGTCCAGTGGCAACAAATTTACAATTCGCACGGCAGTCGTGATTTATATAGGCAGCAGGACCCAGCCATAACTGTGCACAGTTTTTTCGACAGCTGTACATTACAGAAAAATCATTTTTGCCTGTATGTAATAAAGCAGCTTCCTCAGCTTCAGACAACTCAGCTATACAACCAACCAAGCATTCGATTTTATCATTCTTTGACCACCGCTTGGTCGAACTGATTTTGGCACCCTTCTGACCTTCGAGTGAGTAACGATAACAGGCCTCAATTACAAAACCACTGTCCTTATCAAACACACGTAAGTAACGAATTATCTGAAATATCATATGGGTAAACATTAATTAGAAAAATTCTTTAAAGAAAATCAATTCATGAAGTAGTATTGAACTATTATATTTTTTGCACAAACACAAATCTTACATGATCGTGAAGCCGTTTGAAGCTTATTTTGTTTTTACTTTTAAAACTTCTTGGTATCCAAGGGCCATTAAATATTTTTTTTACCGCCACATCATAGTTTTGTGTTGCAATGAAATCATCCACTACAGCCTTCAACTGAGCACTGTCCACTTTGAGTGGACGATATCGAATGTTCATTTTATGTGTCTGAAAACCCAAATGCGGATCTAAAATCAATGAAGTTGCTAGGTCATCATTTTCGGAAAGTTCTTTTGGTGTCATCCCCGTCGACTGTGAAAGTCGACTAACACTATTACTAGCAGCTCCATTTGTGCCGCCAATTGTACTGCCTAAATGATAGCCGTTTGTATATGCAATGTATGTGCTCTGTTGTTGGGCATGACCATTGGAACTGCTATGGCTATTATTTCCGCCATTACTATGTGAAGACATCGAATTTGTTTTACCACTAATATTATGATGAACTGTGTTATGTGCCGAATGATGGTAGCTAGACGTACTATTATTTGAGGTGGAGGAGACTACGTTGGACGAAGAATTTCCGTTTTTGCTATTGCTGCCAGTATCACCACCACCACGCCGCTGATGATTCGAACCAACAACCATTGTTGTCACTCTTCCTGTCACTGTCGCGGATGCTTATGCACCTGCTTAACAGTTAACAGTCACTGTAATAAAAAAAAATAATAATAATTAAATTAATGAGTATCATAACAATGTAGGACAATTTCAATTTAAAAGTAGTTGGCAATCATTGTTTTGCTCCTGATCTGTTAAGGTGAAACATATAACCTCTTTATTAGGTTTTTTGGAAAAGTTGTGAAAATTTTATAGATTTCCAATACCTAACTATGCTATTGCACAAGCATTATTTTTGAGTGGAAATACAATTGATTTTTCCAAATAATTATAAAAAAAAAAATGTCGTACAAAACCAAAGTGATTGGTAGAGTTGTCGCTGTCTCCAAAATATATCAAATATGTATACAAAGTCGATATTCCTTTGGAATAGGATATATGCAAGTGATATTTCAGCAAACTAACATTTCACAAAACATCGGACCTTTCAAAACTTTTCAAGATCCTTTATATTTTAAACGGCCATTACTTTCAATCAAATTTTCCTTCATCAAATTAAAGGCATTAAAGCATTAACATGCCTGTTTTGATCTTGTCACAGAAGTCAGAGGTAGCTATGATTGAACGCACTCGATAAAAAAAAAGGGCTAAACTTTCGCATTCGTATTCAGCTTCAAGTGAGAGCGAAACAACTGTTTCAGTGGAACACGCCGTGTCGTGATACTTGCGCAGCCCTGTCGCGAAATCGCATCAGCTGTCGAAGCCGACCAATGCCACCATTGCAGTAACATGCTTTTTCGTCGTTTATCGAGTACAAACACAAAAAAAAATCAATCGAAAGTCAATCACAACGTATTTCGAACCAATAAATATGGCTGTTTTAAAAGAACACAGCAAAAAGAGAATATTTGATCACTTGATACCGAATGATTTTTTACCGAAATTGTACCCGTTCAATACATTTCAATTAACACTCACAATATGTGTACTTTTGAAGACAAAGGGAATAATCACTTTACAAAGTCTACACCATTTTATTCACATTGGTGTAAACGAGACAACACTATACTGATCAGGCATAACTGGAAAAAATTACCAGCCAGCGTCAACAGCAAAATTGAGAAAATACAAGAAAAAAAAATCAAACGTCCTCAAGAACGAGAAAAATTACAATGTTACATTGTATGAATCCATTTTTGCAATTATTTACCACTTTAAATGCCGCTAAGAAATCAACTCCCATAGATCTCTAAATTGTTAAAAGATATCTTCAGATGATTTTAATTTGCAAATAATGTGCATCCGATTATTTTTTCACCCTAAACTTCCTTCTGTTCAACTTTTCTGACTGCTGTCTTGCTGTCTAGCCGTCTGTGCTGGCGAGATTCTCCGAGCAAGCTCTCACGCACAAAACACAGAAGTTTCAACTTCTTTGTTTTCGCTCCCCTCACGCCATTACACCCTCTATAAAATCGTTCTTTTTAATCACTTTAAGCTATTGATAGAGATAAGCTCAAATTTTGCTGCGTAAAAATAATAAAAAATATATAGAATTCTGAATTCACGTTCACTTCACAACGAATAAAAAAGAAATAGAAACCACAAAAATTCTTAGCAGCGTCTTTGACTTCGTTGTAGTTGTCCTCGTTCGTCGTCGCGATAATAAACTCGTACCGAAACCAGCGAAACCACCAAAAATCGTCTGCCATAAGCTATTATAGCACGAACACACGGGCAATAATCTATTACTCCATTATAAAGCATTTTATCAAATATTACTCGATCTGATGTTGAACCTTATCTACAAATGCTATACATTTATCTATCATTATCCTACTTTTTAAAGTTTAAGAGGTTATGCATAATATTTGCACGTTATTCTTGAATAACCTGCATATTACATTATTTAAAAAAATTAATAATATTCTTTTGTCTTAGATGAATTCATGTAATCTAGCAACTCAGAACAGTAACTCAAAATTGAAAATATTATATTAACTCATCAAATATACATATATTTTTTGTGATCGCTGTTATACTACTTATTTTTTTTAAACTCTTTAGAATATGTCCGATATAATGGAATTATCTGACGATATCCGTAATATATTTTGTAAATATAAGGAGAAACAAAAGGCAGACCTTTTTCAAGCGCTTAATGACGTAAAATGTTGTGAATGCGGTCATCAATCACGTCTGCGGAATGTTCAAAATAAAGTATCCATGTGAATTAGAAGAATTAATGATTAGAGGTGCTCTCCTGACATTATGTCAATATCTTTTCAGCTATCGGAAAATGACAATTTTTTATCAATTGATTTTGTCCATTTTAACCGTATTGCTTTTGATGGCCTTTTACGCATTATGGGCTGCCCGACGTTATAACCATGTACGGCTCTTTGGGACGGGCGCTTGTGCCTCGACTTTTTTGTGGACATATGACGACTGCACTGTGGCTCGTTAGTGTATTATACTGGGTACAAAAATACAAATTGTATTTCTAAATTGCCAGAATGCGAAATGGAATTCAACATGTGTAGCAAAATATTAAAGCTGTTTGTAGAAGTTCATGGCCAGCCAAAAACTTTGTTCATGGGTCCGAATTCCACCTTAATATAGTAAACAAAAAATTTAAAACAAAAGTAAAAACTTTTTTATTTACATCTTTTTTATTTGAATCGAGGCGAATTCACACGAGATGACGGCAGTAGAGCAAATGCCAATAGTAAAAGAGTTTAACGAACAAACCTGAGTTGTAGAGTTGACTAAAGTAATAGATTTGCCATGTGACCTTACCATATGTTCAAACTATTTACACAAGTATTTTAAAACTTTATTGAATATTAAAATAGTTTAAATAAGGCTTTTTTTCACTCAATACAAATTGAGACAAAATATTCGTTTTTGCCCTGCGAAATTCACTGCCATAATTTGTAAATATCTTAAAAAATCGTTTATATAGAAAATGTGTATATTATACTTGCATATATTTTTAATTTGCATCTGTTTTATATAAAACGAAATCAGGAAATATTCTTGTCTACTTAAAACATATATTCAGAAACAACGAAATGATTTTCCAGACGAATATTTGGAATTTACTGGCAACTTTAAAAACAAGAACAATGTGAGTTAACATACAACCCTGAAATATGTACTTATATTAGCGCCTTTGTCATTTGTCATTCGTGAATTTATTTTGAGCAGTGAAAGAAGGTCCCAAAAAATTAATTTGTGAGATAGGACTGTTGCAATCGTTTAAAACCAAATATTTGGAATATATTCGAGCATTATATTGCGTTTTGTCGTAAAAACAAGATTTAAACGTTTTGGTAAATTATAAAGAAAAGGTGCGTTTCGGTGACGATAAAAACATGGGGGCTGTATAGCAATCGAAGTTTTCTAAATATACCATAAACAATTGTGCATGTGTGTATACATATATTATTTGATATATTCTTAATTTCAGAAATAGAATATCAAGATGCCTATTACCTTGCAATCATCCGACAACGAAAACTTCGAAACTGACGTGCAAATCGCAAAATGCTCAGGTACAATAAAAACAATGTTGGAGGATTGCGGCATGGATGATAGTGAAAACGCTACAGTTCCATTACCTAATGTGAATTCCGCCATACTGCGCAAAGTACTTACATGGGCTACGTATCATAAAGACGATCCACAACCAACCGAAGATGACGAGAACAAAGAAAAACGTACCGATGATATCTCCTCCTGGGATGCGGATTTTTTGAAAGTTGATCAGGGCACGCTCTTTGAACTAATTTTAGCCGCTAATTATTTGGATATTAAAGGGCTGCTGGATGTAACTTGTAAAACTGTGGCTAATATGATCAAAGGTAAAACACCCGAAGAGATCCGCAAAACTTTCAATATCAAAAACGATTTCACACCAGCAGAGGAGGAACAAGTGCGTAAGGAAAACGAGTGGTGTGAGGAAAAATAAAGTAGCATATTCAAAACACAATAGCCCTTATATTTACTTATGTATAAAAGAACAATATTACTATAAAGGAGAGATCAGTATAAAATTTTAATCAAAATTGTATGGCTTGAATTGTCACTGCTGAGATTTCTTTAAAATCTCTTAACATATTTAAACGATATTTCGCAATAAATGTAATTGATTTTCCCGAAAAACGATACCAAGTTTTATAATTATAATTTGAATTGTGTATTAAATATGTGCATACATATTATATTAACTATATTAAAGCTGACTAAGGCAAAAGCTAAGAATATGAATTTCTTTGATAGAAAATTTCAGTTTCTAATGTTAAGATATATACTCGTATATACTCATATATATAAATATATTTGTACGAGTGCTTTCAGAACGAGCCCGAATTCGGTAGCTGACACAAACAGTTAACTCGGAAGCATTTCTCCAAATTGTTTTTGTGGTAGTTTTCTGTGTCTAAAACAACAACAATAAATGGTTTATTTTCTATTTCTACGAAATACTCAATTTCTAAGAGTACGTATACCATCAAATTTATGTGCGCCCTGAAATCACAACAATATTGAAAGTTGAAAAAGTTCTCAAAACTAAAAATATTTAATCGGTAAATTTTTGGGAGAAGTCGCTCAAGTAAATTTTTACTTTATTTCTTTACCCTAATTTTTTGTGATATGTATAAGGTTTTCCAATAGGAATGATATAATATGTCATGTTCTGTAATTTTTTTCATTGTATTCAGTAATGTTTACAATTTCATCATGGAAAGATATGCGAAAGAACAACGTTTACAAATTATTAAATTTTATTATTAAAATATCAACTTTCAAAAGGCTTTTGCTATTTGTGGTCGTATAATCATTCACTGTCCTCGAAGGTATGTGCGAAAAGTTTGGAGATTCGTGATTTCAAGAAATCAGTGATTTAAAACCATTAGACTATTTGTGGGTTTATTTAAGTCATTGGTCCTAGCAATAAACCAGTCTCCTCAAACTTTAGAAGTCAATATTGAACGTGCGATACATGACATACGACTTGATTTAGCGGAAAAGTTCTCGAAATTGGGTTCATCAATCTGGTCCTGCAAAAGAAGTCGTAGAGGCATTTGAATGAAATTCAGACCTTAATTGTAATGTTGACATAATGCTGATTAATGTTGAAGGTATTTGAGAGAATAAATGGCTCGATTGCTAATCTGTCTTCAGGAGGATCCTTTCATATATGTAACTATTTATAAGAAGTAGAATTTTATATCCTGTACAGTAAGTATATATATAAGATAGTAAGTTTGATATTTCGTTTCGAGAATAGGCAGGATTAGTTCTTCCTTGCTTTAGAGCACCATTTCTTCGTTAGTGCGAGCGTTCTGTACAATATCACACAGTGTCTCTCGAATGTTCCTACTGTTATTATTTCAATGTCATCTGCATAACCTTGAATCTTATGCCGTTATTTGTCTGGGTCTCTAGAAGAGTTGATAAATTCTTCCTTCATTTTAGTTGTCTATCGCATTCCTAGAATATTGAGAGTGGAAATAAAGTGTATCGGATATCAGTGTCTTTCTATTTGTAGGCGTGCTAGCCATATGTCTGGATTTATATTTCTTTCGGAAGTTTATTGTCCTAAACCGATCTGTAGCCGTTTTCGAAGGACCATGAACTGTTGTTGGGTCTTCTTCTTATGACTATTTAACATACTAGTTGTGGATCTGGAAAATGTATATTGAGCAAGTTAGTGCTGTTATCTTTCATTCTTGTGTATTCATTGTCACCTAGCTTTTATGTCATTTTACTTAAGATTGTATCTTACTTAGCCTATAGCTGTGCTGGTATCGACGATATGTATTCTTAGAAACTATACCGTCTGGACTCATGCTCTCTCCAGGTTTAGATATGGCATGACTAGCTCCAGACCTTATCCTCGGATCTTCTATATCAGGACGCCCAGTTCTCGTACTTTTGGTCCTTTATTTTCTATAATTAGTTTTGCTTTTCTGATGAGAGGTTTTACTCTATGCGTTCGTCGGTTTTCCTTCTTCTTGGCGAGTGTGTGTTCTCCAGGCGGTCTGATCGCTTGCTCGAGAGGATTTTCCTTTCTACAGAGGATCCTCTCATTTGATGAGGTCTTACTTAGATGAGGTCTGATGATGCTTACGATAGAAACCTCTGTCCATCGCTCTTCCTGTGCGATGTCGCTGAGAGAATCATGTCTTCTGAAGGTCTAAGTCCCTAGATGTTCGGACGTTGATAGTGTGCTCCCTTGCATTCAGATGAATATCTTCTTGTTGGCGGTTTAGTTTCGAGCGGAGTTCTAAGGCCCTCAACGCTGATAATTGATCCTCCGTGGAATATTGCCTGCTATCTGGAGGTCGTATCTGCAACCTCTTCCTTCGCTACGTCTCCGCATCTCCTTCCATGTTTGAAGAGTGCTGTTCTGAGACATGCTTAATTTCGCGAAGTGTTTTTATGTTCAGCGGCCTCCGAGACAAATCACCGAGAGAGGAACTATCTTTCTCTTCTTTCGAAAGCCTTCGGCTGGAGTGGATAGCTCTTCTCGTCCATATACGGTAAGGGGTGCGTCTCCGGCGACAGGTTCCTAATTTGTTCAGTACGACCGCTTCTCTGTATACTTTTCAAGCAGTTAAGCTTCCACACAAACGACAAAGTGACAGCATCGAGGTGGAAATGGTCATATTTGGAAACATCGAGCATAAAATAATAATTATATTCTATATGTACATACAAGCCAACTTCAACCGAATTCAAAACCTTTCACATTTTCTATTTCGATACATATCGTCTGTCCCGCACCATGCGCGTTTCCTTAATATAATTAGTACTGAATCTGTTTATAAGAAATTGCTAAAATGTGTCTTATGAAAATCTTTTAGTGTCAAATTTTATTAACATTTTACAATTGTATATTTGTGCAAAACTAGCAGTATAATAATGGAAGATCCTAAGGAAAATTATAAATTTTAATAACTGGCGGTTATCGTCCTAAGATAGATAATGGCAAAATATGTTGTCTCCATACGAGAAAAAAAATATACAAGGTTTTTTGGAGATGATCACAATTGTGGTGGCTCCATAATATCACCTAATGTTATTCTGACCGCAGCACATTGTGTTTGTGAGAGGTAACAATTTTACAATACGTTTGAAAAAATCATAATGAGTATATAAGCATTTCAATAAATTCAGCGAAGGCCGAATACAATTGAGACCGTCTGATATATCGGTCGTAGCTGGAACTCCAAAAGTTTGGTAACTGATAAAACAAGTAATAAAGTTGATAGAGTTAATAGACACGAATACTACGATCCTGATACTTCGCGAAATGATATTGCTATATTATTGTTGCAAAAAAATATATATGAAGATGGTGTTTCAGCACAAAGAATCAGTCTGCAAACCAACATATTACCTCCCTATACTAAATGCACCGTCCTTGGATGGGGTCGAGTTTTTTTCGTGAGTACAAGCTATTATAATAAAATAAGTTGGAACTTCAATATCAATTATTCTAGGTAGGCCCATTTCCAAATTTAATATTACATGCTGATATCTATATAATGCCAACTGAATACTGTAAAGAGAGATACACTCTTTTCTTTGGCATGATGTGCTTGATGTGGATGATTTTGAGCAAAATGCGTGCCGAGGTGATTCTGGTGGTCCACTGATATGTAATGGATCTTTAACGGGTATTGTATCATTTGGTTTTGGCGCTTCACCCAATTATCCAGGTTATTATATGAATGTGACTTCGTATCTTGATTGGATTCGTAAGAATGGATTAAGTAAATTAAGGCCTGTAAACTTTATTTTGCTAATTGTGTTACAAATTTTCATAACGAAAGGAATGTATAGTAAAGAAACAAATTATATTGCTGATCGGTTTAACTTCAAGTAAGCTATTCACTGGAAGGAGTCGGTGAGTGGTTATGACCTCTTAATGCGGAGGCGGTCTGTTTTAGGCAGACGACTGCAGGATGATTTCTGCGAAAACATCCTACATTTTGTTCCTTAACCGGGCAGGACCTACCGTGTAGGTATCGAGGGATGCTGTTATCGTACGGAGTGCAGTGCACGTCTGAAGCTTCTTCGACTGCGTGTCACACATCCAGGCGTTTATATCGGTGCTGCGTAGACGATCGTCGACCGATTGCCCAGCATGTTGCCAGCAACGTTTCTTTGCCTTTGCGGCTCTGTACTTTGGCAATAATCGATCGCATGAAGGAGTACAGAATGTCAAGTGTAACGCCTAAAATCAGGATTGTTGAAAGGCGGAATTTTAACACCATCGACTCGTGATATTAAGATACAGTCTGTACCCTTCGTACAGTTCGTGAATATTTCGCTGCGGATTTCGTGGGCGAGAGCGTTAGGTTCTCGCGAAAATAAACCAAGATAAATCAATTTCATTGCCTGACGTCAATATGTGTATTAGGTGATGGCAACTTTGTTGGTTGCGGAGTTTCGAGTTATAGAAGTTTAAAGTAGTCGGCAGAAGACACCACCATGCGAAACCATCTGTTCAATTCTTCTTAACTTGAGTTTCGTACGGATCGAACTGTACGGATAATTACGACCGCTCCGATAGTCAGATAGGAGGGCGCGTAGATTGTCTGATGTCTTGTAGTAGCGCGTGTTTGACTGTGCCTGCTTTATAAGTCCAAAAGAGGATGGTCCTCACAAAGTTATTTGATTAGTATACGAACTATCAAGACCTTTATGACGCTAAGTGCTTGGTAGTACTGTGCACTTTCCGGAAGCGATGTTGAGTGTCTTTACTACTATAGAATGGAGAGTTATCGAACAATAAGACTTCTCTGGTGGGTCTTCAGTTTTCAGTAGGAGACCATTTCCAATATTCCACATATCGGGTGTATAAAGAGTGGCAGCGACAGGTTGAGGCCTTGGCAGGTATTTTACTCCAGCACTAAGTGCTTTAGTATCAACACGTTTATCGCCTCTCAATGGATTTCAACGATTTCGCCTTGCTGTTGACACTCTGAACCTCATCATGAAAGTAAGTGGCGAGTATTTTGGCATTTTGCGCAGCCGCTGTAATGACTTTGACTATCGGCTGAATCAATGTATACGAGGGCGAACAGGCATGCCATCGAATTCAATTTCAACCGTCTGTCATGGCACGTGAGATTGATAACAATTACCATAGGAATAAGTATGTGGTGAAGGTGTCTTCGGTAAGTTCTGTGAAACGAAACAGTTGAGAGAAAGCTTGCGGCTGTTCACAGAAATAAAGAAGGAGGTTTCTCGATCGAGATATTTATGGGCAGATGTTTTGATGCGAGAGTTAGATTTGGTTCTACAAATGTTTTGATCTGGTTGTTTCGTAAGATAATCATAATATCAATATAAGAAGCAGAATGTCGACTACGCTGACAAACATAAACGTGAAGGAACGTCGTCTGCGATCATTAAATTTGGTTTGCAAATGGTCATATTTGGAGAATACCGAGGATAAAATATTAATTTTTATATACAATATGTACAAACAAACTTCGACGAACTTAAAAATTTTTACCTTTTAATTTTGAATATATGTATATTATGTATATTGATTTCGGATGTTTAGTCCTACATCAATCACATAATAATTAATTATAAGTATTGAATCCTTTTATAGAAATTAGAAATGTGTTGTATGAAAATTTTAGTGTCAATTTTATCAACATTTTACGATTGGAAAATATCCTTGTGCAAAACAATAGCAATATAAAATGGAAGATCCTAGAAAATTATAAAATTTTAATAACGGCGGTTATCGTCCTAAGATAGATAATTTGGCAAATATATTGTTCCATACGAGGAAAAATATTCAAGGTTTTTGAGATGATCAAATTGTGGTGGACTATGATATCACCCAATTATTCTGACCGCAGCATTGTGTTTGTGAGAGGTAACAATTGACAATACGTTTGAAAAATCTTAGAGTCATATAGCATTTCAATAAATTCAGGAAGGAAATACAATTGAGACGTCTGATATATCGGTCGAGCTGGAACTCCAAAACGTTTGGTAGCCACTGATAAAACAAAGTAATAAAGTTGATAGAGTTATTAGACACGAATACTACGATCCTGATACTATGCGAGATGATATTGCTATATTATTTTGCTAAAAGATATATATGAAGAGTGTTTCAACACAAAGAATTAGTCTGCAAACAAAGATATTACTCCCTATACTAAATGCACGTCCTTGGATGGGGTCGTGTTTTTACAGTAAGTAAATTCTATTACAATAAACTCTGTATAAACTTCAACTATCAATTATTCTAGGCAGGCCCATTTCCAGATTAATATTACATGCCGATATCTATATAATGCCAACGGAATACTGTAAAAGAGAGTAAGTTTTTCTTTGGCATGATGTGGCTGGGATGTGGATGATTTTGAGCAAAATGCGTGCCGAGGTGATTCTGGTGGTCCGCTTATGTGTAATGGTAGTCTAACGGGTATTGTATCATTTTCCTATGACTGCGCTCTACCCAACTATGTAGTTTATTATACGAATGTGACTTCGTATCTTGATTGGATTCGTAAGAATGGATTAAGTAAATTAAGGCCTGTAAACTTTATTTTGCTAATTGTGTTACAAATTTTCATAACGAAAGACAAGTGGAGAGTAAATATTACGCATATTAATTGAAAATTAGCAGTGTTTCTATTGCATCATTCAGGTTAGTGAAACTACAATACATATGGTATGTACGTAAAAGTACAGGTACAATGAAGATGTGCTGAAACCAATTTGTTTCCGAAACCTGGTAAAGCAGACCATCTGCTCAATTCATTTCGATCGATTAGCCTACTGGTTATTATTTCGAAAAAATATTTTAAAAAATATTTGTGTGCAGACTTTCACCTCTGCTGAAGAAAAACAGCTCAACCTACAGAGTAGAACATTTTATAAATAATGGAAAATTGTAAATACTATGATGAGGTTTTCCTTGATGTCTGTCAGACATTTGACAAGGATTGGCGCCTTAGCCTAGAATACAAGTTAAAGGAAAACTGCCTTTGCCTTACTAACTGCTGCTAAAGTCATGCTCGGACGTTCTTCAATATTATCTACACAGCTGACCTACCAGTGATGAGCTTTGACTCCATAATTTCGACAATTTATGCGGATGATACGGCATTGCTGGCGCCTGCAGGAAACTGGAAATGCAATTGGCCGCTTTAGAACCACAAGTGGCTCTATATGGTCAGTTGCTACCAACAAGCACAAGCGCAAAATATCTGCAGCTTACAACTGATAAGAGGCGTCTCTCCAATATGAAAATCAAAAAAAAACTCAGCTCAGGTTAAGGTTTGCGCAGCTGTACTGGCTCCTAATGACAAGATCCCTCCTCAGTCTGACGAACAAGGTACGCATACATGGGATCTACCAACAAGAACGACGTGATTTGAAAATGAAATAAAAGACTCGAGCTTGGTCAAAATAGGCTCTGTTTTTTTCTTTGCACGCAATGTGTTCATGTTTAGACGTCAAACATGAGGCGGCGCAATGTATGGTTGGAAATAGGGATACTCCGCGTCGGTTTCATCAAATTCCGGGGAAAAAAGTCCACGTCGTAATATAACGCTCACTATTGATGGTAAGGGCATTTCCTGCCAATTGAATTTCCTGAAACGCACGAGGATTTGACTCATCTTAATACCGACAATTTTGTTTGTTGACAATTCTATTATGTAAGATATGGGACATGAAGAACTGGTAAACCTTACTGAACACACGGACAACATTTGACACAAGTCCGTAAACAAACATGGCCGCCATGAGCTTTCAAAATCGTGTCATACCTTTTGGAAAAATAAAGTTATACGCACTATAGTGGGTGCACATTTTCATGTTACAAATGACGTTCTGCATCGAGAGCTAAGAATACCCACTGTAAAAGAAACTATAGAAGAATTTAGTAGTCGTTACCTCTCTCGATTGAAAAGGTATGCTAATGTACTTGCGATCCAACTGGACCTGGATAAAAAGATATCATCCATTAGGTAACCCCTTTCCATTCAATTGAACTCACCTTCATTTAAGTCAAATATTTTTCATTATACTTCCACATCATTGTTTTTGTCAGCAAGTTTAGTTATTGTCATTTTAATAATAAGAAAGATTCTAAATACAACTAAATATTACACAAAAAAAACCTTTCTATTTCGAACTTGAGTTTGTTTGAGATGTTGAGTCTTACATCAAGCATGATTCAATTATTATTACTATTATTATTGAATCATGTGTATAAGAAGTTAAAAATGTGTTTAATTGAAAAAATTTTTGTGTCAATAATTTTTATCAACATTATACGATGGGAAACATATCTTTGTGCAATAAACAATAGCAATATAATCATGGAAGATGCTAAAGAAAAATATAAATTTTTAATAACTGGCGGTTATCGTCCAAAAATAGATAATTTGGCAAAACATGTTGTCTCCATACGAGGAAAGAAATATAAATGGTTTTTTGGAGATGATCACAGTTGTGGTGGCTCCATAATCTCACCAAAAGTTATTCTGACCGCAGCACATTGTGTCTGTAAGCGGTAATAGTTTGATGCTATGTTCAAAAATTTATTTATAAGTACATAAGCATTTCTATAAATTCAGCAAAAGCCGGATACGGGTTAAACCGTCAGATTTATTGGTAGTAGCTGGAACCCCGAGGCGTTTGGTACCTACCGAAACAACACAAGTGTTAAAAGTTAATAAAATTATTCGACACGTCTACTACAAGCCGTCAAGTTTTCGAAATGATATTGCTATTTTACTGTTGGTAAAAAGTATATATGAAGACGGTGTTTCAGCACAGAGAATTAGTCTGCAAACCAACATATTACCTCCCTATACTAAATGCACCGTGCTTGGATGGGGTCGAATTTTTTTCGTGAGTACAAGCTATTATAATAAAATATGTTGGAACTTCAACTATTAATTATTCTAGATGGGCCCAATGCCAGATTTGATATTACATGTCGATGTCTATATTTTGCCAACTGATTACTGTGAAGCTAGAACTGACAATTTTGCTTTTGGCATGATGTGTGCTGGCGATGAGGCTGATCCTGAAAGAGATTCGTGCAGTGGTGATTCTGGTGGGCCGCTGATATGTAATGGTAGTGTAACGGGTATTGTATCATTTGGTGTTAAGTGTGGTATACCCGAACATGCCGGTTATTATACTAATGTGACTTCGTATCTTGATTGGATTCGTGAGAATGGAAACAGTAAACTAAGACCTGTAAATTTTATTTTGCTAATTGTGTTACAAATTTTCATAATGAGAGGTATGTGAAGTACATATGTATGTATGCATGTATGTATGTACTTAACCCGCAATTCATAGAAAATTAACGCTTGTTGTTATTGGACCAGTTAAGTGAAACCAAGTTGAATAAAAAAAGTGTTTCACGTGATTGAGACAGGAGTGAAGAGTTGACAATGTCTTAATGTAGGTGAGCATTCTAAAGAGGGGTGTTAAATAAATCTAGATCGACTTAGTGTTTTACCGATTCGGTATCGGACTAAGTTGTTTCCGTAAGCGGAATTTGAATATCAAAAGTTCTTGATGCAATCAAATCACAGATTTGTACATGATTTTTTATTTGTTATTTCATAGAAAAAATCAATTAGATGACGGCAGTTGCTGCCTTCGTCTAACAGCAAGCTTCAAAGGTTAATAATAAATAAAGTATATGGTACATTTGTAAAAGGTAAGCTGCCAATTAAACGTTATTTAATATTTACGTACATGCATACAAACGTACATGTGTATGTATATACTTGCTTCCATAAATCGAACACTCTCCACTTTATATATTACAACAAAATATCGTTTGAGCTCAGTTCACCTATGACAACGTAACGTTTACAACTACTAATCAATATACTTAAGTATATAGTACATATATGCATATGTACATATATACCTACATATATACAATATCATATTCGCAACGACATTTCATGGCACTAAATGATTTGAGAATTCGTACCAAGGATGGCGAAGTTCTCGGTACTCGTGACATATTATTTGAGAAATCACACGTAGTTCAAGAAGCGAAAAAAGTGACGGATCAAGAAGGTTGCATATCATTAAATAAAATTACATCAAACATTTTGCGTCGTATTATCATATGGGCAGAAAAATGTGAGGATGCGTCTTATGAATTAGACAATAACAACATGGAAAAATGGAAAGACGAATTCTTAGATGTCGACAATGAAACATTATTCCAAATAATTAGTGCTGCTGATGACTTGCATCAAAAGGATCTCGTCAATAGGGCTATAACTAAAGTAGCTAGAGAAATCAGTGACAAATCAGCACCGGAAATAGCGAAATATTTTAATTTACGTTCAAAAAATGTACATTTGTGAGACTTTATACATTCGGAAATGAAATAAATAAAATGTGATTAGTACTCTTAAAGATAATACGTTTGGTATGTACTGTCAATTACCTGTTTGTACATACATATATATATAGCTATATTTTGTGTTTTCCAGTAAATTTAAGAATGTTAAGAATATTTCGGAGTGTTTTATATTGTCAAAGTACTCGTTAGTGTGATAGAAGATGTTATACTTGGTCTACCAAAAAATTGTAATATACTCTCCATTAATTTAATCTTAGACTACTAGATCTGCTATTACCGAGTCATTTTGATGATGTGATGTAAATTAAATATAAAAAAATCAAAATTAATTGAGTCTTAACTGTTTACTTGCAACAAATGCACTTCAAAACAATTCAGAAACAAGCCACCAATCGATTAAATTACCCGTTGGTTACCCAATAGCGCTACCAGATAATTCTGTTAAAGTTTCTATGAGTTTCTAAAGGCCCATTGACAGTTCTAACCGAAACTCTTATGTACGTGTGATCATGCCTTTCTTACCAAAAGGCAACATGTACGGTGTGTATGTTTTAGCTTCCGCGCTAATTCTTTCAATGTATTGTATTGTAGTTTCGGTAGCCGTGACTTCCTAGATAGATTTTCATTATAAGTAAAATAAACCGCAATAATTTTATGAATATTTACTACAAATTTATTGAAGGTGGCAGCATTCAAAGCAACGCAGCTGTTTCGGCGCTCACATGAAATTGTTTGTTTCAGTATGTGTAAGATTGTATGCATTTCGCTCCGACAAATATTCTTCTGCTAAATTTTTCGCGTTGATTTTTAGTTTGCGTTTTTCCAGAAATAATACGGGGCTTAAACTCATGATTGTACAATAACTAAAAGAAAGTCGTTAAAGAGTGAAGATGCTACATACTGAGTTATCATAGAAGTGAATTTTGTTATTCAGAAGTGTGAATGAACAATGTTGGAGCAGAGAACGTAGAACTCTGGTTGGAGCGCGTAAAATTGCAATTTTGCTTGTATTGGTACGGTTGCAAGGGGGAGAGACTCGGCTACTATCAGTAAATTAAAATGTGCCAACGTAAAGTTGTTAGCTACGCAACGTAATGAAGACGTTTGTTACGTGTGTTCTCCCTCATTGCTTTTGTGCCGGAGAACTGACGGATTAATTATAAAATTGCGATAAGTGTTGCCATTTTTCATACGTTTCGTGATTGTTTCGTTTGTTTTGATCGCGCTAATTGCACGTCGGTAAAGCAGTGCCTGCCGGTTTTCGCGGACAAATTTTGGTGAATGCAATTTTTTGTAATAGTAATTGGGTTTAATTGCTTTTTTGATAAATAACTTGTGATATTATTGATACATTTAGTGTAAATTTGCAAGTTTGCAAGATAATGGATCAATTTCAAGCTTCGTTAGACCCGAGAAAGCAGGAGCTGCTCGAGGCGCGTTTTCTTGGAGTACGGGTAAATATATAAATATTTAGTAAAAGTAAAATATACAGGAGTGTACGTAGATGTATATCAAATAATATCTATATATTTGATCAGACTTTATCATGTGTGTTTTTGTGTGCTTGTGTTCCATTTGGTTGAACACGGTTTAGAAGTTTTATGAAATACTTAATTGTCATCATTTGATTAGGCTTAAGACTTATCCAATAAGAAACTTACTTTAAATAGAAAGAATAGCTTTAATAAATACTGTAAGCTATAAATGTAATTATGGTATTAGCAGGAGTTCCATTATTTAAATACGTATAAATATACAGACGCCAATCGGCATTATACAACTAAAATAAGAATTTCCGAGCGAACCACTATAGAAGTCCACTTCGTTGTGCAGAGAGTTGACTGGATCATCCGAAATTAAAATATCAAGGTTCACTTGTTTGATAATGTTTTTTTTCGAAATACCAATTTTTAATTTTTTTTAACACTTTAAAGGAAAAAAATATTCTTAGCGAATAAGTCAGCCTATTTGATATAGTAAAATAAATATTACTAACAAATTTTAATAGTGTTCAAAAATTTAAAATAATCGGTGCAGTAGTTTTGAAGTAATGGATGGCAACGACTTTGAAAACGTTAGTTACGCTTTAAGCTTTGAAAAAAAATGTTCTAAACCCTTATTGCCCCCTTAAGTAGTTACTTAAATAATTTCCTATTTTTTTTAATCATATAACAACTAATTGTAGATATACATATCTTTTATGTTTTCAAAATGTTGAGTTTAGTAATGAATAATATAACAGTATTTTTGTTAAATTTTCAAATTTTTTTTTTGAACTCCATTTTTCTTAAATTTTCCTCTTCCGTTGCATCAATGGTTTTCTTCCACACGTTCAAAATTACCAACTTTACTAGTGCTAGTATGTATTATGACCCTAGTGGTCGCCTTCGTTGTTAATACCACGGTTTATATTGTCGAGGTGCTTTTCCCATAGTTAACCACACTTCGTTTCCTACCCTGCGCCTCTCTTGTCTATTTAAAGGCGCTACCTTCATTGTTTCCTTTGCCACCGCCACATGCTGCCATTTCTAGCATTGGCAAGTGATGTGGATGGCATTCCCAACTGATAGCCGAAGTGTTTTGTTGCTGAGATTTTCAGTTTCGTTGCAACAGCAACTCTTTCAGCAACGTGCTGTCTGTGCGGTTTGTTTGCCATTCGCCGGTTATATGAGATATTTCGTACTGTGACTTGGCCGACACATTGCCTTTGGCTGACTGAATTTTGTGTTTGTAATGGATTTTTGTTATTGTAATTACTTAATTATTATGATGGGATAGTAAGGTTTAAGAAATTACTACAAAAATAAAATATTATCAAAATAAAGTAAACAATGTTAAAATATGCACATGTTGGTATATTTTTTGCATTTGGTTTATGGAAAACGTAAGGAAAAACTAAACAATCCAACAAAAGTGTAATAGTGCTACTCACCGTGTCATTGAACGAAGACGTTGCGAGAGTATTACTTATACTGTATTATATATGTACATCCATATATACTCGTACATATAGAAGTAGAACAGGTAACATATTCAGTAGTAAGCGCCAGTGCGGAGGACAACAAAAATTATGCCATTAATTAAGCAACGAAAAATGAGTCGTTTTAAGGTTAGTGCTAAGATAAATAAGAAACATACAAGTATATTCACGCACATACATACATGCATATATGGTACGTACATACGTATATACTACATAAGTATGTATACATACATATATGTCTAAGATAATATTTAAATATACATACGAAAAGGCTTTCATGACAGAATATAGTTGATTGAATTGGAAGTGCATTAATCAGGACCCTTAGTTACATAGGTATGATCGATATATATTCTTTACTTTTGCAATCTAAATAATATTATACAAACATTTCTTAATTTCTTTTAAATTTTATAACCACGTTTATTTAATATGTCATTGAGCAGTTCAATTTGAACTTACCTAATCGCAATTTTTATTTTGTGATGTGCTTAAATAAGTAATTTTACATCCTCTTACATTGAGACATGTAATTAAGTAACTACCGACAGGGCACAAGTGCTATTGTTATATAAACCTATATAGTATAATATATTTTATTAATGGTATATGTTATCCTCAACGTAGAGAAAAATGCCACAAAAAGTGTTGTACCAGTTGCGTCCACCAAACTGACATGTGACGGGTTGTTTCTGCTGTAGCGCCAGAGAACATACCTGAAATAGTTTTGAAAATGCTCCCGAGTCGACAGTCCTTAGCCCGATAATAATCCGGGGCCTTTCCGATAACATAGACCCGACTGTTGTTGGAATGGTAAAGGGTGTTTTTTTTAGACATGTGGTTTTCAAGAAGAAACAAAACGCATATAATTTTATGACTTGGCCAAGGATTTAGAAGATTTATTAAGAAGATAGGGGTTTGCAATTATGTCAACATCCACCAATTCAGGCACAAAAATTTATTAATAGTTCCGGCGTAAGTCTGTTCATTATAAAATGGCAAACCAAACTGAGTATAAATAACTGTGCTGTGAAAAACACCAATTCCGAATTCCCTGTTAAATAGTGCAAAATTTTTGAAAAAAGGCTTGAAGGGGTATGTATATAGGCCGAAAAAAAATTAATTTTCCAGAAGTTTACCTAAAAAAAATTTTAAATTTATTGATCCAAAAATTTATACACATATTATGGTATCTTTTAACTATATTTTAAGACTTAATACTGGTAAAAATATTTATTAGGAAAAGAGCTACAGCTGATCTCTGGGAGCTCCTCCCTAAAAAGACGTTTTGAGGTTACCACTATATTTTTGAACTTGACCATCTGAAACTAAAAAACCAAATAGATTTCGTTAAAGTAATGTTAAATCTAGTAATTAAGCGAAGGAATAAGCAACATAAAATTTATTAACAAAATGGCGGTTTCTCAAAAAAAAAAATATTTTTTTCACTGAAATTTCGGCCTTAAATTGTTTCTAAAAACAAAAATATTTATCGGAGAGAAAAAATCTTCGATAAACTACTAAAAAATCTATTTAACACTAGAACTACGAAGATTTACCATATATCTATTTCAAATAGGTCTCTCTCTCTCTGAAAATTAGAATCGTAAATACAAAATAATTTAAAATATACATAAATTTAATAAAAATCATGACTTTATCGTAAAATATTAAATAGGAATAAAGAAGAATTGGTATAAATAAATGATGCAACCGGACATTTTGACCATTTAAAATTTGAGACTCAACGGTTTAGCCGTTTTCGAGTAATGTTGGTCACCGACTTTGAAAACACCATTCTAAGAAAAATGCGTTTAATGTTTGGAATGCACTTTACATGATATAACATTTTTTTTAACTTACATGCAGTCGTCTATTCCAGGCCGATATAAGAGACCTTTCGCCGATTCGGGCTTCTAATAACTCGACCTGAAAGCCATTCTCCCATCTCGGGTGCTCTCAGGCGCTCTGCAATCGGAAATGTTCAGCGTTCAGGTAGTTGCTGCCGCTCCGGCCTTGTACTTCCAAGCACTCTTAAACGCCTTTCCAAATTGCGTGTAACTTTGAAAATATTC